GGAGTTTTTATTTTTTCAGGGTTAGGGTTTAACCTACAAAAGATGGTCATCGAGGTAACCACCTCCCCACCCCCAAATAGTCATACTCTCCTCTCACAAAGACATCGGAGCCCTGGGAGCAGAGCCAATGTTCTAATGAGAACTGGACTGGAGCAGCCCATGTAAAGTTAGGATTATATCAGTTTGGCTACTAAGGCATTAAAATTGACGTATATAAGTTATATAATGTTGGGCCAAATTTCATTTAGTTATTTTCCCCCTCAAACAATGCTTGTGATGTCGATCAGTGCTAATAACGCTAGACTTTTCCTAATAACAGTCAAGTTTTAATTAACAGTCCAGACATGCAAACTTAATGTCCATCTATCTATCCATCTATCCATCTATCCATCTATCTATCTATCTATCTATCTATCTATCTATCTATCTATCAAAAACGACCTTATTTTTACACCTATCATTGTTCAGCAGACATCTAGCTCCACTACATGCATTTTTCTGAGTGCTAACCTTCATTAAAAAATCCTCTAGTGCCCAATGAGCCATACTGTGTGCAGCAGCAATACAAAAGCAATCAATAAGGCCATAATCTAGGGAGAGAAACAAAATTGCAAAGCTTTGAACTGCAACAGCAGGAGGACTCCGCTCCAATCCGCCATCAACAGCCCAGCCTTTGTTTTCTTTTGAAATATAACCCACTCCTGCAATTCAGGTTTCATCTGCAACAACGCCAGCACTCCCACACATAAATGGTTCCCAAGACTCCAACTACCTCCCTCAAACCACAACCCCCAACCCGCTATTCCACACTCTGTTAACCTGCACTGAATCCAATATTAGTTACATTCTTCAAGGGAAATAATACAAGTCTACCACCGGACTCGTACCACGGCCTAAAAAGGTGCTTTTGGAGGAATAGGAGGGATCGTGTAGCGCAACAGATCGGGAGCAAGCATCACGGACGTTCATAAGCAATGTATCTACATGCACACAGAACACGTATGTCATGTGACCCTGGGCACCAGCATTCACATGCACACAGCTTTATACAGATAGGTGACAAATTAAAGGAAGCCAGTGTTGGTCGGACGCCAGTCTTGGCATTCTCTCTGTGGTCTGGGTTCTGGTTTTGCAATGCAGTCCTGGGAAGATAATTGCTTTTTTTTAATAATTGCTGCCCCACTCTGTTCAATGCCATTTCAAGGGCAATTTAACCAAATGTTAAAATATCCATTTCTTTTTATATTGTAGTTGAACCATAGTTTGTTTAGAGGCAGAGTATGCAGATTTTTTCTCCCTATTTATGTATTTCTTATAACATATATGGAGAGGTCAGGAGAAAGAGGGTCAGCTCTGAGGTTTACTTACCACTAGAGGTTAGAAATCTCAAAATTCAACACGAACACAACAATTAGAACCACTGAGTCTGATTTTAAGACTATTTAAAGTTATTTTAAAATGTTGTTTTCATGTTAGGAAGAGACTGTAATTTAAATTAGGCCTGGACATTATCAGAGGTCTGCTGTCCTGCAATGTATTCAGATCACCAGGCTCATCACTATAGTCATGGCAAGGGCAGTTTGACCTCTGCTAGTCCTGGGGCAACAAACTGCTGGTTCATGAGGTTGTTGTTTGAATCCAGTGGTCACCAGTCTCCAAAGCTAAATGTATTACTTGTCCTGGAAGTTGACAAGGTCAGGGGATTATATTTATATTAAACAATATTATTAGAGAGAGTGGACTCCACTAATGGATCAGGTTATTTAAATCAGATACACAGCCCCCTGCAGGTGAGGAGGGGGAAATATAAGCTAATAATAACCCCAAAATTACTACAACTCTTAAAATAAGGAGAGTATAAACAATATAAAGTTATCACTGATTGGATCCTGGTTATTTTAATACTTTAGTTGTATAACTTTTGCAAAACATTCAACCAAATAATCTATTTCATGGGGTACATTAAAAATGCTAGTCCTGCAATTTTTTTGAAGCATGTTCAGAAATTTGAAAAGCATTTCTGCACATTTCTGCCCCTGCTGGAGCTCTGTCGCTTCATCTCTCTACAGGTAACTGTTAATGGTCTGTTCCTCCTGACTGTGAGATGACCTGTGTTGACCTTTCTCAAGACCTGTTTTAATGCACAAGGATCAGGCCCATTTCTGATTCTTTTAACTCATCTCTCCCGCAGACCAGGAAGATGTCGATCTAATCAGCGTCAAGCCAATGTGCAGCGACGCCGCATGTCTATTTTCTTTGATGCCCTCCTTTCTCCACTATTTATTTCTTTACTTTAATTGGATTTTGTCACCAGTCTTTGACATCCATGGCGCCGCTCTTCGCCATGCCAACCACTCAGGACATCACAAAGCCGGACAGTAAGCCCACTGACATAGAACAGGCCTGGATGGAAGAACAAAAGCAGCCTTTGCTATCATGAGGCGTGGATGCTGTTCGACTTGGACAGGGTCCACGCATTGCTGTATGTACACCATCACCCAGCTGGGTGAAGGGAGCGCGGACTATTGCTGTGTTCACTTTGATTATGATGATGGGAAAGTGCAAAAGCTACAGGACATGTCTGACATCAAGGCTAGAGATATTGTGAAAGTGTAAATGTGCATGTTATCTAAAATGACTTGCACATGTTGAACAACTTAAATCATCTCCGAGACATGGCAGCTCATTTCCAAAACACAACAGAACAGTCATAGATAACACAGAAAAATCCATGAAACTGCATATGGGGAGAAATTAAAAATCAGAACCTTCACACCGAGAGTATAAATATGTTGGTGGTAAATCAAATATGAGACTAAAAATGGCTTTTAGAGTGATTACGATTCCATTTCATATGAATAATGGTAGAGTACAGCCAAAAACATCTTTTTAATTTTAGTTTTCTCAAATCCAAAGTCAAGTGTCTCATTAGCTTGATTTACCACAAGTTATTTTGACTTTGATTTTCTAGGCATTTATTTCCGGCCAGGAAATGGGCTTCCACACAGGTTAGCACTAACACAAACACACACGGTCCCAACAATACACCACTATCACGACCACACAAACACATCACTCTCCACATCCACACATGAAGGAAAACACGTTGTTTTTTTTTATCTATGGGTCAGAAAGACAATGAGGGCGACATGGTTTTCGTTGCGGTAGACTCAGGGTCTTGTATTTGGACGCCTGCATGTCTACACCTTACTTTTCTTTATCTTGACATTGAAGTGGAAAATACAAAACAGAAATAAAAGGTACAATGTTGACTGTAAATTGAGAAGACAAAAAAGATGAGCTAACAAAGGTTTTTTTTTCATCTAAAGTTCATCATCATTTATTAGAAAATGTTCTTTTACCTGAGAGAATCCTTCAATAGCTTCCTTTACCCAGTCACAAAAAGTGGTCTGTGTTTGTGTGTATGTATGTTTGTGTGTGTGTGTGTGTGTGTGCGTGCGTGCATGTCTGGTGTGGGTCTAGTCGATGCTCTCACCGGTGGGCAAATTTTTTAAAAAGCAATCAGGAGATAATTGTTTCCGCACAAATGCATAAAAAAGCTCCAATGAGATGAGAAAATATGCCAACAGGTTCACTCACTCACTTATTGCACTTGGTTTAAAAATAATTGTAAACTTTTTATTTAGACGTTAACAGTTGCTACTTATCAGGCTGCAACACTGTCAACTCCCAGGTTAAGCTAATTCAAATTCAATATTAAGGGTGCAAAAGGCAACTGTCTTGGTTGTAATTGATATTTATTTTTGTTGTTACAATTATTACTGATTTTGATTTTGTTTTTCTCCACATGATTGGTTTAGGCCGTTCAAAGTGCTTTTCGTTTAAGTGCTTTAGTACAAGTGATGGTCGCCACCTAGTGTACGTTCATTTCCAGTGGGACCATGTGGAACTGTGATTACAAAATGTTTCTAATTTTATTCATGAAAGGAAGTGGTAAACAGGTGTAGTAAACTGGCAAAATGCTACGTCCTATACGTCCCACTGGTGAACTCTGACCATCACTCTGGTCCCACTGGTGAACTCTGACCATCACTTTCAGCTTTACATTAACTTGGTCGCAGGATATAAAAATTAAAGCTTCACACGCGTATTGCAGAAGGCTTGAATTTAGGGGCTTATCTTGGTATTGGGATTCGAGGGGCCATAACATTCAACATGCCAATTGATGAGAGCGCTGCATCGAGTTAGACGTGAGTAGTACCCAAACGTTACAACAACACACATATACATACACACACCACTTTCTGAGCAGTTAACAAAAAACAGCACATCTCATGAAGTCCTTATTCTCCACAACATCCCCAGTGCCCCTTCGACTAGTTCTATGGGACCAGGACTTCCACAAGGCCATACTGGCTTTGACCATCAGCCAAAAGGCTGGGATCAATGCCAGCATACCAGGGCCGTCCAGACCCCTGCCCACACAGAGTAGCAAGGGTCTCAAGGTCAAGCAAAGAACCTCTGGAATTCCATGATGGGCCGAATTTGATTTCATAAACAAATCCCGCTCACCGTTTGTCCTGTGAGCTTTTATTTTGAAGGGACTTGGAGGAAAATTGCATAGACATCTTGCTACTAGCATGTTTTCACAAACTACATTTGGCATGGAGGGGACCAAACACAACCAGAAAACCAAAGAAACATCACAGACACATCTCCAACCTTGTCCAATGTATCAACATGCGAGAAAAAACCAGGATCATAACATCTATGGAGGGATGGGCTCAGAGGCCCCTCTAAGCCAGCCTTGAATATTTATAAAGACACATTCAGTCAGATTTTTAAAAAAGAAGATGCGTTTAATGTTCATCTGTAAAGACGAACATCAAGTAGAGATTAGCTGGTCACAAGTAGAGATTAGCTTCCTGCGGGGATGAGCACTTGTGATAATACAAACGTCACAGAGCTGTTTTAGTGTTAGCATGTTCCCTGATTAGATCCACCACTGAGTCATCTGTAAGGGTCTGAGGGTGTTGATCTTTGGGTGAGGGCACAAATGAATGCGAGCCTGAGAAAATATTGAGACTTATTTTTCCTGTTTATAATGTGTTTGTCCACTGTCTGACTTATGAGTAGTTATTATCTGAGGAATCAAACAGTAAACTATAGGAATAAAAATATCAGCCTTTTAAAGTCTCTTGACGAGTCTATGTCCAAGGACTGAGCTTGTCAGGTGTTAAGGCTGGCTTATGGGAGGCTACGAGCTTTGGAACAAATGGTGGAACCCAGTTGGAAATTTTCCCATCTATTATGTGGGTGTGGAGCAGCCACGTTAGCTCACATTCACAGCAAATAACATCTTACTGCCAACATGGCTGCAGCTGACGAGTAGGGTTAGAAAGATGTACAGAATTCCATCAAATTTCCAGTAACCTTCCAGGAGAAGTTAAGCTTCAAAAATGTGTCCAACCAGAAAGCTAGCTCTAACACTTTAACATACAGTTTTGTATGAAAAATGAAATATTGTTTAGCTTCCTCCATTGATTATGGTGTAGGCTTGTATTCCTGTTGTAGTTGTGTTGTTAAGACAGGATAACTTCAGGATAAACAATTGGACCAATAAGAACTCATTTTGACCATCATGTATTTTTTTGTGTTTAAAATATTTGCACTAATAATTTTTTGCTCTGAATATAATTATAATATAAGTCCTGTAGTCTAAATCAGGTCAAACGTACTGGACTGTCCAGTCAGTTCTAGTTTAGTTTTTACTCATGTAAAAGGTCTCATGGAAGGTTTTCCACTTGTTCAATTTCTGGAATTTTCCAACCCTACCGACAACACTCACATGAACAGTGGGAGAAGAACTGAATCCGGTTCTGTGGTGAACAAACACAGCTGTAGGTACGCAGTCCAATGTGTAAAGTGTTGTGTTTCCGGAATATGTGGGATACAAATATCTCTTTGCAAAAAAGAGGAGGCACAGGGTTTATGATTCAGATCATGGAGCACTTCTGACAAATGCTTCTGCATGCACGTGAGAGAGTGCACACACTAATGCAAGGATCATTACACATCACTTTGTTTTTTTTGTTTTTTTGTTTTTTTGTTTTTCTTTTTTAACATCTTGTACACGACAGTGGGAGGGGGGGCAGTTCAAATTTACTTTGCAATAAATCTCGAGTGTTGGATTTTTTTTGTATTTACATCCTTGGTTATGGCCAAAATAAATGTAAGGTGAAAGTAAAAACAGAAAACATAGAAAAATACATAACATAGTATTGCACCTTGCAGATGGGCAATATATATTCTCAGTTTCGTTGGTCGTTTGTAACCTGTGACAACACTCATCATTTCTGCTGGTGTGTGGAAGTTAGGTTGTGGGGTCCAGGCTCATGGTCCAGCCCCCTCCTGTCAGCTACATTCAATACCATAGAACACTCAGCCATCACAAAAGGCACCGTCCCTCAGTTTCCGGGCCGTTCACATTTTTGAGTTAACCGTCTGTGGAATGTGCCGCGGGGCTGAAGGAGCGCTCACATCAGCAGATGACTCTTCTCTCTCCACTCGTCTGAGAACCAGAATCTTTCAGGATAAAGTGCACCAGAGATTGAGGGACGTGTCCTTTTGTAACTTGTACTGATGGGTACACACAAGCACATATTATCTTAACATTTTAAACTTTTTTTTTTAAATCTATATATGCATCACTGAACTTTCACATGTGCCTGCAAAATATGACTCCTCCCATGATCCTTTGAGTTTTTTTGTTGAGTGAGGTATGACAAGATTGTGTTTATTTTTTTTTTCTTTTTTCTTTTTTTTTCAGTTTCTGTTGCATTATTTTTCCTGTTGTGAGTTTTTTTCCTCTGGTGTTATATTTGTTAAAAAAAAAAAAACATAAAAAAAGTGAAATTCCTGTTTTTGTTGGTTGTAAATTCCTCCTGATGCGAGGGGACGGACAAAAGACAGACACAGACAAACAGATCAGTTGGCTTATCAACACAAACTATAGATGTGAAAAAGAAGTGAAATATTTTCTATGTTACACTGCACGCATGGTCAAAAAGTGACTACAGCTCTTTTTTTCCCTCTTTTACACAGAGCAGTTTAAGCGTCAACAACAACAACAACAACAGCAACAACAAAAAAAAAAACATCAACAGAAAAATAAGAAAATGATAAAATGGAAAATCTCCCAATAATTTTAATTCAGGAGTCTCTTTTTTAAAGTCATCTCTTTTCATTTTTGTTTTATGGATTTATAATAATTTCATATATCTTTTTTTCTTCCTTACTCTAAAACAGACTGAATGTAAAGCAGCGTTATAACCCCTGCAGTCACACGGACATCCAGTCAGCTCACAAAAGAACGGATGTCAATGTTTCTCTTTCTCTTTTCCTGCTTCTCTGTTCTTTTGCAAAGACGGCTTCAGATTCCAAACCTACATCTCTGGAATGGATCTCTTCCTGATCCTTATCATACCAATGTCGGAGTAATCCTCTTTGAGGGTGCTGTCGGCGGGGCGGAGGGGCATTTGGCGTTCCCAGTTGGCATAGAGGCGGAGGCTCACGTTGGGCTGTTGTGGGAAAAAAAAAGAAGAAACATTTTTCCCGTCCCCTCTTCCTCCAAGTGTTTGTTAAAACCGTCTCTACAACCAGCCACATCACCCTCTCTCACCCATGTCAGTCATGGTAGTGAGGGTGGAGACCCTCAGCTGTTTTGTCATCCATCCCATGTTCTCCTCTTCTTTCACATCCTTGCAAATTCTCACGCTCAAGTCTTTATTTTTCCTTATGTTTTCGGCTGCTGTTGCTTTTGCTGTTCACATTCATTCGGTGGTGCCACTCTTAAGGGCAGTTACGGCCAGCCTTGTCTCACAAGGGACAGGCCTGGATCCCAATTTGGTTTTCAATGATTCAGGGCCAAACTGGGGAACATCTCAACCAGCAGTGAGTGGATGGGTGCGATAGCTAGGTTTTAGGGAGAGGGAAGGAGCAGAGGTGAGACAACGGAAGTTTAAGGAGGTGTGTTAGGAAAATGGATTTTCACTGGGCTGAATCAGGGGATGGGGGTATTGGAGGGTGGGTGGTTGGGGGGTCATGATCTGAGTAAGTGCGACGCAGCCCTAATCTGCACAGATCTCAGGGTAATGTGCTGTTGGTCTAATACTGACAACAAGACAGGTTTGGGACTGAGCCCACTGCAACTGCCAGTCTCTGTCACACAGAGCATGTCAGCTTACAACATCAGGGGGACAGAGGGAGAATTAATGCATAATCCAACAAGAGGCCATGATTACATTTTCATGATTAAGGGGGTTTTAAAATAGGGGGTCGGGGGTCACTGCAGTAGTGCAAAAAAAATTCCACCAGCCTGGCTAGGTGGGGGCTGTCTTACTGGGTGGGCTTCCGTACAATCGGAGCTTGGCTCCAGGGAGTAAGGTGAGAGGGGGGTAAGGGTGGGGTAGATGGTGAGGGATCTCTGGGAGTGGTCAAGTGCTGGACGACGGGGTTTTCATTGGGCGTCAGACCAGACTTGATCTTTGCTTCTCCAGACTGTGCTCCGTTTCACTCTCATCTCATCTCTTTTTTTAACAGCATTGCTCGGCCATGTGAAAATTACCCATGATTCCTGCTAAACATTCCACTGCTCAGGTACTTCCCGAGGGGCGAACACCTGTACTCATCCTGTACAAGTGCTCAGTTTGAACTACTGCTTGGCATCGGATTAAAAGATCGTCTCGGTCTCTGTTTCAAAAGTCAGTTGGATTCAGCACAGCCGCAGAATTGTAATGAACAGACAGGACTTTAAAAAATCCAATTCATAATCAATTATAGTAATTTGGCTTAAATCTACTACGACGTCTGCCGTGGATGTCAGTAAAATTTACCTGAAGAGGTTCGATTGCAGTTGAAAACAAACCCTTATTTAACAAACGTCATCTAACGCATTTCTACCGACATATTCACCCAGTGGCAGCCGTCACAGCCATGCGCTCATCCCGTCCTCTCTGTACATTCAAATTCCACGACCACAATCATCATCACTGGTTCCAAAAACTCTTAATCTCTTTGTCGTTCCTCTGTTTCCTCGCTCTGTTGCGACTCAGCTGGGCTGCACATCCAAACTGTCCTTCATTGCTTTGTTTTTCTTTCTTCCTTTCGACAGAAATAAGTAAATTCAAATCTTTCAATAGATGACACTTGGTCCCATTTAACAAAAACAGACAACCCGAATGTAATGGGTACCATTCCCTGGAGTGAGTGAAAAAGCATCCAGGGTGATGGCTGGCCCTCCTGTCTTCAGTGGTATTTCAATTTCAACCAAGTGATAGCACTGAGGGTGTGTGTGTGTGTGTGTGAGCGTGAGTGTGTGTCTGCGTACGCACTGTCTGCCGTCTTTGTGTTTTCTCATGACTACAAGTGTGCGCCTACACATAAAAAAGAAAAAAACATCTGCACATTTGTGTATTACTCTACACTTTCGTGGGTTATGTGTGTATGTGTAGGCTGTGGGTAGCTGCCCTGTGTCCACAGAGGTGAGGTAGTGCCTGAAACCACAGGGGCAGTACTGCTGCTCCAGCCTAGGGGTGTGTCCACACTGAGGTAAAAATGTAGCCTTCTTGGCATTCGCCTGCTCTCAGTGACGCCCGTGGTCAAAAAAAGGCCAATGTGTATGGAAGCCTGGAGGGGCCACACTGAGCGGAGTCCATGAGGAGAGGACTCGAAAAACCCTGCAGGTTAGGGCTGTATATAAACACTGCCACCGCAGTGAATACAGTAATATGAGGCATTCACGTTACTTTGAGGTGATGTTGTCTTTTTGTGTACATGTACGTGTGTGTGTGTGTGTGTGTATACGTGTGGATGAGCTCTGCTGTCCTGCTTCTGCTATTCAAAACCTCTTAGGAGGGCGGGTTGAGGAGATTTACTCCCGACCCATGGGCTCTGAATCTACGCGCCAGCTATTAAATCTTGTTTCCTCCCTCTGTCTGTGCTCCTTTCTCCTTGTCTCCTCATCTCCTCCCTTCCCTGTACATGCAGTAACTCCTTAGAAAGAGGCCTTAATTGTCATTCAGAGGACGCGGTGCTGCCATCTCAAGCAGCCCAGGGCAGTGACTAAGCAGGTCTGCTCATCTATGAGTGTGTCAGTATGTGTGTGTGTGTGTAAAGTGTGTATTTGTGTATGTGTGTGCGTGTGCTATGTCACAGGAGCTGGTCCGATGACAAAAATGAAGGTAGATATGAAGCCATGATCTGCACTTTTTTGTTTGTTTGTTTTTTCAAAGGTAGACAACACAAGTTCATAAAAGTGGAGTAGCCTTGTATATAAATATAGCACCGGTTTTCAAAAAAGGATGTAAGACGTAAGAAGTAGTTCCACAACAGCTGTAACGGCTCAGATTGACTGTAAGAAATTGACAACAAACAACCAGCTCTGGTGGTTTTTCTACTCCAACTGCTGTATACACTCCAATCATCGCAATAAACATCTACTGGAAATCCCAAGTGCAGTATTTGCTGATTGTGTGTGTATGTGTTTTCTGTGTGAGTGTTGAGTTTATTTGACCTTGTTTTCACACCTAACACTTACTCGTGGATAATACTGAGAGGTGCTGGCCAGCGGGGACGCTGGAGACGCTGGCTTTCGTGATGTCTGTGTTTATCTGTGGCAGCTACAAAAAAACCAGAGGCGGGAACTGACCCCCGCAACTGGTGCTGCTCTGAAGAATTGAGGTGGATCAGGGTGTGTGTGTGTCTGTGTGTGTGTGTGTGTGTCTCTTTGAGTGTGTCTTGGCAAATGGCTACAACTCTTGCTAGATAAGACATCATGCTCAGACAGAAGGGCCCCCACTCGGATTTTAAACCGGGGCAAGTAGAAGGAGGGGAAAGACGTGGAGGAGGGGTGTTTTTTAAAAAAACAAACAAACAAACAAACAAACAAAAAATCCTTTGTTTGCTTGACTCTTCTGCTGCTGGTGTGTTGATTTGTCATTGTTGTTTCCAGTTTCTTTTTTTTAATCACATACTGAGAATGTGATGTCAGAGAAAGGCAGGTTCCTCCCTCCATCCTTCCCCTACCAAAAAAAAACAATGGCCCTTCCCATCGACCATTTTCCCCCGACTTTGTTTTTCTCTCGCTCTGTGGCAGCTGTGTTTCACACATCCTGTTCCTCAAAGACCTCCAAGAAGAGCGGAGGGAAGAGTTCATTGGGACACTCCACCTTCATGTGAAGGAAGCGGCTGGCGTGGCACGCCCCGATCATCCGCAGGTCTGTCACCTTCATCAGAAGCTTGGGCCAGAAGTGAGGAATGTTGTGCTTGCGGTAGTTGATGTAGTGCTCAAATGCTAGCAGGTACGTCTCCTGACACTTCTCGATCTTGTCCACGCAGGTCAGGCCAGAGCGGTCTGCGAGGAGACAGATGTTTGTGAGTGCAGATTGGACAGTAAAAACAAATAAGACAGAGAGTAAGACCAAAAAATGTTAAATTAAAGGTGCTTTTGCTTTATCGTTTGTTTTCCACTAAATACGATCACAGTCACTGAACTGAGAGTTTGACACGTAACAATAATGTCCATATTTAGGTCTGTAAAAAATACATTCTTGGAGATTGAAAGGCTAACTATTTCACAGCCACTCTTCACCTATATGTCAACTTAAGGACTGTGAAAACCCCCATAATAATTCTTAAGGCACCTGAGCTCATGAGCAGCACCGCCTGCAATAGCGCCACCTCTGTGTCGTCCAGGTTGAACTGCGCCAGGCTCTTGCCCAAATCAAAGATGGCGTCCGACACCACACCCAAGCCACCGTTTTTCAGCTGTTCCCTCTTCACTGCCATCTCTCCACTGAGCGTCAGAGTCTCGCTGTCTGGATCATAGCGCATCGCGGCTCGCAGCGACATGATCTCCATGCAGCAGCCCTTCAACAGGATGATCTGGTCTTCACAAGGCAGCTGGTGAAAAGAGCGCTGTTATTACACATCTATCTATACTATACAGTACACACATATACTGTAACATGTTTTTTTTAACTGAATGACAAGATGAATTCTTCAGTGGAGGCTCCTTCAAACCCAAACCTGTAGCAGCTATCCGACAGCACTGGGTCCTGTGTAGCCTTATATATATATTTTTAGATTTCTTTCTTTTCTGCACTTTTTTCACAGTCTGCACACAAAAATACCATCTGCTTCATTCGTTTTAAGCATAATAAACCGTGCATTTGTGCTTCACAGGTAAAAACTCAACATTTTCTCCCTGCTATCTTTTTATCGACCAACCATTTGCTTTGCATTAATAACACTCTGGTGCCAATACAGCGGGAAACGCTGCCAAAAAATGAAGAGAGATCTGCCTGACCTTTATTATGTCCAGACAAACAAAGCACACTATTGTGCTTCTCTAAAAAAAAGAAAGAGATCATCCATCTGTGAGTTGAACCTTTGCCATTGTTACACTTGACTTTACTTCAGGATTTATGTAATGGATCTCCCAGCATTTAATACCCAACGACCGAGTCTCCATCTGGGAACATACACAAACGGTGGATTCAGTGCTGAGGGAAGCAGTGTAGATCTTCTTGATTATTCTGTTGTGAAGCGTAACCATGCTTACGAGTGCAACATACATGCAGTAAACATTATATATCCATATGAAGGGGAACAGTTCCGAAAGTTCCATGTCCAAAAAAAAACAAAAAAAACAAAAAAAAAAAACAGTTTCATCACAGCAGGAAAAAATCTCAGGAGCAGAAGACCTTTGTGGATAATCCTGCTTTATAATAACTGATCATCTGACAGTATTTACTGGAACCCAGGATGTTTAGCTGCATTTCCATATCCTCAAATCTAAACCATGTATTTGGTGGGCGACCAAGTGGTAATAAAGTGGGATCATTGTTTTAAGACGAGCTTAGTGAGGACAAATGATGAAAGAGAGAGGGATGAGGGGGAAAACTGGGAAAAGGAGACACAGATGCGGCAAAGAACAAAGCACTGGAAACAGGAAGGAACAGGAAACTGGAAGATTCTTTTTCCCTGATAAGCAGATTTAAATGAAAACACTCATTTGCATAGACGGTAAAATCCTGGCTGATGGATTCCATCATCAGGGTTTGTTCTCACCTCAGTTGAAACTTGTTTTTCCTGACTGTTGATAATTAAATGACATTTATTGGCTGTATTTGTCCGATGGATTTGTACCCCAAGGCCACGCTTAAAGTAAATGCTTATGAGGCAATTACTGCTGCCTCCATTTGTGTGGAAGCATTCGATTCACTTTTAGTGGCTCATCGAGTGCTGGCTTTGTCGTGTGCCTTCATATCTGTAATTTACTGCATTGGCATAAAGTGGAACACATTGAATGGAGGCTAAAAAGGTTCTCTGTTCTCCACTCCCTTCAACAGATAAAAAAAAAAATCATCCCTTATAACTTCATTTATTATATTGTCAAGAAAAGATAAAACATCCTTCTGAGTGTCTATAAAACAAATCTCTACAAATCTGCTACGGCTACAATGTAGTGATTTAAAATTCTCTGTCTAAGGAAATGCTAGAATCTATTTTAATGCACAATCAGTTGACAAGTATCGGTGATTAAAATTCTCAACCCTTTCACCTACTTTTGTTTCTTAAGGTCTACGCTTAAAGGTAAGACATCTTTGATGAAATTAATAAGTTGTGATACTAGTTCAAATGACAGGATAATAATCATGATCTTTAAAGGGAAATCAATTTGAGGTCTGCCTTGCCAACATACATTCCCGGTGCCCATCTATCGTGGAGCTCAGGGCATGTTGCCCTTCAAAGCTCACCTAAAATATAGTTATATTCAGATTAGCCCATCATCCCATTCACTTCAACTACTTTATGATTCAATTAGGTTTTATATCCAGCTGAATTTGTCTGCTTTTATTGAAGCTGTTGTTTGATTTACTATGTTCTTTTTATGTGATCTTGGAGTGACCTTGACCTTGAGGTGCGCTTAGATTTCATGTTTTATTCATTTCAGGAAAAAAATCAATGTGGTAAAAATTCACTAGTATCTTGACATTGCAGATTCACTTGTATTTTTAACTATTTAAGCCGACTTTATATTTGTGTGCGTAATTCATACTGTTTTTGCCTAATAATATGTGATATATGTACACACTGCACTTTAGACCGGAGACCCGTATCCCCTGTCCCTGGGTCAATGGGTACTGGTCGGCAGAGAAATAATGAATCATTTACCTTATTTAAGGATATTTCTATTTACTTTCTTCATTTATTAGATTTTGTTTGTTTGGAGAAATTGTTCAAAAAAGTACATCTTACAGACTCTTACTAACACAAAATAGGATGTTTTATTTTCAACATTTACTGATCCTAAACGATCCTCCACTGGTGCGGTACTGATACGGTACTGGCCGGTACAGGTCATCGAGTCCTTGGGACAGCTGCTCTAAGTCCCTCATTAACACAGCTCCAGTGATGACTGTTGGATCACACACACAGGCTCTCATGACAAGGACCTGGGATGACATTCATGACAAAGTGAAGGGGGAGGAGCTTCTCCCCCCACACTGCCGTAGGTCTTTACCCTGCCACATCAGTGTACCACATGTTGTTGTGGTCTTTGTCAAACAGGGGTGTGTTTAATTCTACCAGACGCCCTGACCTCTTAAGTCAAGTCTTTCCTTGGAGAAACCTGCTGCGTCTATGACATCCTGTAGTTCTCCCCCGTCACACCCTCCACCCCTCCTCCCATGCAGACATCACACCACCACTCACCTCAGAGAACATGGGCAGTTTTTTGGCAAAGTCAACGACACGAGTGATGGCAGGAGTGATGATCTTGGTGAATTCACTGAAGGCCTCCAGGTCCACCTTGTCTCCGTCTGATGTGGGTGCCACCGGGGACTGGCCGATTTTGTCCGGCTATAAGAACAAATGAACATGGGGTCAATTAGGATTTCTTTGCCTAAACATTTACCACCAATAACTTACTGTACACATATCACATTTTGTATTAAAACATCACCAAAATATAATAATTACATTATTATTGTTGTTGTTTGGCAGCGTGGCGGTCCGCAAAGAACATCCATGTTATTCAAGGCCCGGTATTATTCCTCTATTTTAATTTTTTAATTTTATTTTCTGCACAATATTGCCTTCTGGTGGCATTAGTGAGCACAACCGACTACAATCTATAAGCGTTTGACAATCGTCAAGACAGATATAATTGTAGCATTAGCTAAGGATACATGGATAAAATGTATCTATTTAAAATGTGTATGCATGTAAATGTAAAATTTATACCAGGAATACACACACACACACACACACACACACACACACCAACTCAAATCTGTACCTCGTTGGCTGAAGATAACAAATAACTGAAAATCACACAATGACCATGAACACAACATCAGTTCTTCGGTGCCTCTGCCTAGTATTTCATTATTCATCTGCAGGTCATATGAGCGATAGTTTACTTTCTAATTGGCCAATTTTTTTGGGCCAAAAAATTACTTCTTGGCACCACTGCAGCAGCTTTAATGTGAGTGGCACAGAAGTCAGTTGACAGCCGGCCAGAGCAGGATTTTCCCTGCAGCAGATGATAAACGGTGTACACCATTCTGGAGCTCTGATTGTGTCAGGCACAGTGACGACTGAGCTGCTGTTCACTGATTGCCTTTTCTTCACCTTTTGAACACATTCCTACAGTTTTGACCTTGAAAATGTGACATTCGTGAGAGACTTTGATACTTCATGGTCGAGATATATTTTTCAATGAGTCACAATCAAAACAGAATGTTCTTTTTTATTCCAAAACCCAAAATAGATTCTAATATTGAAAGAAGGATTCTGAGCTCGACTAAATAAATAAATAAATAATAAAAAAAGTGCCATTCGTGCTGCTGACCAAACCAAAACACAGAGGTAAAAGAACAGGAAAACAGTGTCCTTTTTACACGTTCAATTTGCGGTCCACATGCAGACTTGCCACCTCAATTTGAGAGTCACTACAACATTGTCTCAACAAACAAAGAAAATAAAAGAACATGCACAGACACAGGTAGATAATTCCAGGTGTGTCCTCGTGGAATCAAAGAGGACGGGCGAATAAATGAGAGTGGTGAGGAATCGATAAAATCGGCAAGGAGCCTGAGTAAAACCAAGTGACGCAAGCCAGTAGATTTAAATGAGTGTGTAACCTTTGTGCTCACTTTCACAGAGCGTTATCACATCGTGGGAAAGAAATTAAAACCAATTTATCAGGTAGAGACAGCAGACGGTGCTGTGTGAGAGCAGCAATCTGGAGGACAAATCTGTGCAGCCTGGGACTGAGGACCAAGTACAAGGAAACCTGGATGATTGTAGTAATAACTAGGACGTACTGCAGTGTTTGTCAGGAAAGAGACAAAACAAAGCACTGCCGCAGGTCAGTGGCATTTAACATGTCACTCTGGAGAATGTAGACTTTTGTAAGGTTATAAAGAATCAGAATCTGAGGTTCAGAAACAGACATTACAAAGTCGTTATTTGAGACGACTTTATTGATTTCAAACCTAGAAGATAGTCTTGGTCTTACAAGTGTTTTTTTCTTAACAACAAAAAAGACAATAAAGCTCGCTGCCTTAACTGAAAATGACATTTAGGAGGAAAAAAAAAAAGAAGTTCAACAGCTACATCTCCTTCCCAGTAACTAGGAACAATACATCACCCTTATTGTCAACACGTGTTTTTATAAGGACCGTGTCTTTAGCAGACTGGGACTGGAAACTCTTCACTGTAGTAACTGGAACGACCAGCGCAGGAAAACAGATGTTCATGTTTGATTTTTTTTTTGTTATTTAAAATTGCATCACTTCGTTGTTAGCGGTGTGTCGGCAGGAATTACAATAGTGCGCACACACGCCGCACCTGGGCACGGCAAACAAAAACCATGTGTGAGTCTACACACCATGGAAGTTATACAATGTATAGGAAAACACACAAGGTGGGGAGAGGCGCGTCTGCCAAATGAGCAGGATGGAAAAGATGAATCCTCTCAACTTTCTTTGATCCTTGAACTGTGCATTGATCATGTATGTGAGTGATGATGGAACGTCAGACGAGGAAACACAAGAAGTTGAAGAAGTCATTCGGTACATTACAGAAGGAAACAGCTATAGCTAATGGAACAACGGGGCTCTCATAACATCATCAAAAGTAAATACTAATTTGCTATATATATTATATATGTATCTATCTCTTTCTCCATATATACCTAAATATATATCTCCATACATGAACACATTATAGCTTACTTTTAGAACCAATCATTAATAGTAGTACATTGAAGCCTGTACGTAGACACTTGATTCCTTACCGTACCTTACACGTACACTACGTAACTTAACTTATGTATTTATTTCGATTTATATTCTTTCTTTAGTCTCTTAGGACTCATCACTATTATGAAGAATAATGCACAAAATAGAGAGAAAATCACGTAGATAACGCAAACACAATATGGAATGTGATTGAGGACTGACACCCCCTGACCTTCAGACCACCGACCCCTCAAAATCACTGACATGAGAGCAGAAAGATCAAATAAAGTTCAGGTTAAGGCCACGGAGACTGAAGACTGAAGACCACTCTCTGGGTATTTTGCATACGCAGCGAGGACACAAAGAAAACATATTGTACACACATAGTATTATGGTTATGGGTATATACCATGATAAATAGGGGTATTTAGTATGGAATTATGGTTGATGATGATAGCGGTGGAAATAATTAGCCAATCTCTGCAGAGAGAGGAGAAAGCTGGAAAAACATTTAACTGCCGTCTCATCAGTTTTTGTGGTGAGCTCCAGCTGATGACATTTCAGATCAGTTCTGCAAACTGTGTTCCAGCAGAGCTGGAGAAGAAGAGAAGCTCCACATACGGTCCAAAAATGGATTAATCTAGCTGATGAAAACGGATCAAACCAGTAAATTAGGTTTCATGTGATACATTTGAGTTTTTTTTTTAGCGTGATGAGAAAATACCTCCTTTACTGTGAACAACAAGCTCCTTCAGAGAAGCAGTTGTTGGAGTCTGGAGTATAATCTCAACTCAAGATCGGGAGAACTGACGAGGTTTTTCTGGCAATATTATTCTTTAATAACGTAAAGTACGGAGATAACTGATTTTCCAAACTGGACTGTAATAAAAAATAAAACTCCCCACACAAGGTAAAGGTGCAGGAATGAGGGGCTTATAAGGGAAGATAAGGCTGAATTTACAGCTCAGTGAAGTGCGTGCCTCGTGTAAACCTATCTTCAGGTATGTAGGTCAAACACGTTGTTTTGTATACGTCTAAGCTGCAGCCTGTCGTCTCTTTGTACTGAATCACAGCCTGTTCCTGATGGTCAGGATTTAGATTGTCCAGGAGAGATCACAGATAAAGTTCATTGGTTCATGAACTGTGGAAATAAAAGAGTCATTTGATTTTCTCTGAGTTTCTGCTGAGCACTGGATAAACAGGCTTGGCACTTGAGTTTTCTCCAGCCCTTGAGGAGAAACACGAAAGTACTTCAGGTACACTGCATTGGCTTTACAGTGCTATGTGGACCATCACAGTCTTTAAATCTACAAAAACCAGGTCTGAGCTTTCTGGAAAAACTAAAAGAAACGTAGAAAATTCTCCATAACCATTAATATGTTTTTTTTTCAAACACTGAGTCAGGACCCACAGAAGGGTCACAGAGGACATTTACTTGGGTCAAAAAATAACTGACATAGACTGTGGATGATCCCAGCATTCATCAGGCAAGGGCGGAGTACCAGCAGCACTAGTCCAGAGCAGGACCATCGTATGGTTCTACAAACGAGGAACTCACCGTTGGGAAGCGTCAGTTACAGAAGGGATTTGATTTAAATTGTTATTTTTTATTTGTATTTGTTTGCCAGAGAACTTTTCAAACATTTGTTTAAAAACATAAGGTTTGTCACCTCAATTCAAAACTGTGGCCTGGTCACTGAACAGTAACAATCAACCCTGCTGGGTCAAACCCACACTAACCCACTGTGTCCTACACAATGCTTGGGTTTGTGTCCCAGAGACTAAGTTGATCTGATCTTTCTTCAAATATTATGACAACAAGAGTTTCATCTAAATCCACCAGATCTGGACACATCTCTGCCAGCTCAGACTCTGAGGTCGTCTAATGACAGAATCAGGACTGGACTTGTGTCCTCATTCCTGTCTGAGCTCCTTAAACCTCACATGCTGCAACACCCGGTCTCTGTCTTCCCAGAACACAGGTCTCCCATCCGTACCAGGAGTTAAGTCTGGTTTATTGTGGTGGGGGGTGAGAGGAGGGGTTTCTCCATTGACCAAAATAAAAGCGTTCCTTCCATCAGACTGTCTGACTCCTCAGAGTCGCCCAGATCCAAACTCAGACCTCATCTTTAATGACATTTAAGCAGCATCGTGCTCTGTTTATATCTGTCTCCACAGTCAGTCAGGTCTGTGTAAATGAGTTACACCAAGTTTAGTCTATGTTGCCCCGCTGGTGGGATAATTGTTAAATTAATTTAACTCTGTCTCCCTCCCAGGCAGTTTTCTTCTTCTTTGTCTCTCATTTCTAGTTCTTTTTGTGCATTCCCTTTTCCCCTGGTGACACTAACCCTTCTGCAGATATGTCTCCCTGCTGTGCTGCAAAACATCCACTGCAGGCTGTTACAAACTTTTTTCAAAGGGAGCCAGATTTGATGAATAAAAATATCCAGCAGCCATAATTAAGTGGCATGAACCACAGCGCATCCTGCCACGAGTGTGCTGCAAAACAAGTGCTGTTTTTGTGAAATCAGCTGTGTAACTTAAACGCCACCGAGACTTCTATGAAACATGGGATTGTTTCTTCTTCTTGGTCAAATAACTAGAAATGTAAAAAAAAAAAAATCTTACAAAAAAGGCTTAAAAAAAAGGCAAAACATTTGAAACACAAAGTAACTAGTTAATCCAGAGGTAGGTTGATGGGTTAGTCATTTTGCCTAGAGATGGCTAAGATATAGATTAGAAATTACTAAAAGTAAGGCAACTGTAAGAATGACCCGGAAAATGCTTACACACTAACGTGCCGCCACCCAGTGGTTGAGAATCACTATAATTAAAAATGTTTACTGTTTTCTGCCATAAACTACTAAGTTTTAACACATGGCCTGTTTCCAATCCCAGTCCACATCCTCCCTGTTGCCTAGCAACACCTTCCTCACACTACTGTCTTCCTCCACATGTGCACAGCCTCCATTTCTCCATTGTAACACCCTGATTATTGAATGACGGACAAATGTCCAGCTGACAGAAGGCTGCATTACATTTGTTTCCAACGATTCTTTTAGCTGTGATATCATACCCTGGCATTCTCATCTGTGTCTGCAGCTTCACACCTCCTCACCTACAAAATTCCCACATGGCCTGTTTCCAATCCCAGTCCACATCCTCCCTGTTGCCTAGCAACACCTTCCTCACACTACTGTCTTCCTCCACATGTGCACAGCCTCCATTTCTCCATTGCTAACCGCTCACAGCTCTGAGGGATGGAATTTGTCCACAGACTTTGGTCTAGAGCTTCTTTAGTGCTGACTTTTACCAGAACAAAACAAAATAAAGACCAGTGTTGGTGTTGGTGTTGGTGTGGCACAGGGACAGACTGGTACCAGGACGGGACTCCCTCACAGGCTGACCAAGATAAGAACGCAGCAGAAAAATAGACAGAGATAAAAACAGAGAGAGAGAGAAGATCTTTGCCAACTGTCAGATGAGCGCTCATGACTGAGGATTTGCCTTTCCCTGGCACAGATAAGCCGGCAGCTCAGAGAAGACGGAGAGGAAAGTGAGGTTACACAGAGAGGAAACACAGAAGTAAAGACGGGAAAGGGATTAAAGGAAAAGGAAGGAATTGTGGTGTGAATGAAAACTATGAAGGGAATTAGGTCTGGTGAAGAGCCCAGAAGGATTAGGAAGAATAACCCCACCTCCCAAAAAAGTCAAGAGCTGCAGAAGAAAGAGAGGGAAGGAAACGGTGAAGGCAAACAGAGAATTATAGAGCATTAAAATCATTAAGTGCTGCGATAAAACAACCCCCAGATCACGGCTGACGTTAGCAGGGCATGTTCTTGTGGGTAACCAGCCCTAGTGTCCTGTTTTGGACTTCTGAAGTTAGTAATACAATTATAAATGAAAGCAAAAAATAAAAAAGAAGCTACTTCCACTGTAAAAGTACTGGAGTTCATACACACTTTTCCTGTTTCTATTAGTCAAAGGGCTGGTTTTTTAACCATCACACCTTTTAATTAATGTTTACTGGAGAGTATTGATTTATTTTTTTAACTTATAAGTAGTATGTTTTAACAATTTTGTAGCAACATTTAGCCATCTGTTAATAAATACTTTATTTTGTAAATACTTAGCTAGTTCTGAGTAACTCTAAATCATTTCCAGTTGATTCTGGTTTTGTAAATATTTTTTATTTATTTAACATTTCAAGATCTTGGATCGTGTGCAACATTCTGCACTTAATTGTTTTTGTGCCTTGGCACTGCATTCAAGTCATTACCTTATCTAACTTATATACTGAGTTATGTTAACAATATGTTTAGCTGATATTAATTAGTGATATTTGTTCAGAACATTCTATGATTCCATGGTCACTAATGTGAAGCCAGTGTGTTAATCAGGACCTTTCTTTGACTAATCACACTGAGGGCTTCGTTTCGCCTTCATGTTGGAACCAAAGTTTCTCAGAGACAGTTTTCAAGAATGACAGATTGAAAGTGAAACTTTAATTGGGTCAGCTTTTATCTCCGCATCCAGAAGATGAACTTCACATACAGAAAATCAGGACAAGCTGTGGTTTGGCTCAATGACAACCAAACTCATCGTCTGTTGTTCTGCCAAACCTCTGTTGTTAAGAGTTTCCGACCCATTGTAATTACATCACTGGGAGCAGTTTCATCATCTCAGTAGTTTGAAACTGGAATTGCCTTTTAATTAAACGGTAAATATTTGTAGCCAAAGAAAAAAAAAAAACTAACCAGGAATTTTCGCTTCTGTTTCCACTGTGAGCCCTGAGCATTGGTGTGTCGATGGGCCTCGGTCACCAGGCGGATCAGCTCCCACTCGGCCCCGGTGGGCTCCGGACGGTTCTGGAGGGTCTTCACCATTTCCTCCTTTTTGCGTTTTTCCCTGTTCTCCTCGATCAGGCGCCGTTTGGCCACACGCTTTGACTCGTCCAGCACCACTGGACAGGGACGAAGGACGAGGATGAAGAGGAGACACGGTAAGACACAGTGTAGAACATATTTATATTTTCAAGCAAATTATTTGAATTAATTAAAACAAAACTGATAAAAAATAAGTAATAAAATAAAAAAGTAACACCAAACACAAAATGTAATTCTTATTGACATCTAGACATCAGCTTGGATGAGAACCCTGCATCAAACAGATTTTGACAGCAGTCACTCACAGTCCATGGCCATGCCCACTGCGATGCACTTTTTGAAGCGGCATAGCTGACACTGGTTGCGGGTGATCTTGTCGATGATGCAGCAGCAGTCATATTTACAGGAGTAGGAGGGGTGGAGGTTCTTTTGTATGGTCCTGCGGAAGAAACCCTGCAGGAAGACAGGAAGTGAGATCAGCATGAATTGGTCTCACAGGCAGGAAGAGGCAGCGAAGGGCAGGAGTGGTCAGAACTTTAAGAACACAGAGGCTTCATGAAGGGATAACAGACCACATCATCACACAATGACAAACACTGTGTCTAAGTCCAGACTGATGGTCAGTCACACACACATGAATGACTCATTACAGCGTCGTCAAAGTCCTACCTTGCAGCCCTCGCATGTAATGCATCGGTAGTGGTAACCTGTGGCCTTGTCACCACACACCACACATGGCTCATCCTTTTCGAGGTAGCTGGGGATGTACCCTGAAATAGAAATGTAGCCGATCAATGAATGTCGTAAGTCAGACAGAGTTCACCTCACAGATGGAAGAGAAAGGCCCTAAAACATCCATCGCAAATAATTAAATTAGAAACTGGCTTTTAAAAAGATAACAGACAAAAAAGACCAAAAGTTTAAAACGGGGTGCTAAATATGGGGGGGGCAAACCCCGATTTAGTTACTGCCAACATGTCATAAAAATTTTAAGTAGATAAAACACATTTTTTGGGGATCAATGGGCAAAGAAATGGTGAAGATCCGTGGTTGAGAATGTAGCTATGAGTTTGCGATAAAATGTTTAATGTTAGCCAACAAAACAGTATAAAAAAAGACACGTAATAATCAGATGCTCTGGGAATGATTCAAAGGCGTCCAGTGTCAGCACCACAGTCAGTCAACACTGAACCATCACGTGTGTTTGATCAGAACATCAAGTTCCTTTAGAAGTGAGCAGCACTGGGTCCAGTCAGTGGCTTCCACTGCAACACATGATTCCCATTCATCAGGAGCCTGGATCCAAATCTGCTTATTTACCCAAATGATGAAACACTTGAGAGAACACTGCAGTTCCACCTCCGTCTAATGAAAAACACATTAAAGCCCAAATCATGAGCAAACTTTTCTTCCTGACTCTCCAAGTGATGAGTAAAACACGCTCTGGTCAGTCTCACTTGTCCCGCATGATTACAGTCACTTTTATGGCCAAGACAGACCCAGACTCTGTGAGAGGGCTGACGTGAGGAACCGCTGCAGGGCCTGGACGAACAAAGCGGCTCCAGCTTTTATTGAAGGGGGTTTTGTCCTCCAGGCTTTACTGGAAGAAATCTTTCCTGGCACTGAGCCGGTGGGGAAGACCTGCAGTCTGCAGCGCCAGTGCCAGCGTCTGGGGCCATTTCTGGCCCCTGAGTTTTACGTGGCCACGTCAAGGGTTAAATTAGATAAATGTTATAAATATTTTTTTTTTCTGCTGTAAACACTGAAGACCTGTATTGAACAGGTGCAGGAAGAAAAATGCTTCATAAGTTGTCAAAAATACTGCGACAGACCTCAAGGATAATTTGCTCCCGGTCCAAAACACTCCGTGTAAACTCATCTTAAGTCGTGTACAATTAAATTCTACACGCCACCCAATAAAGGAGCAGAGCTTGGCCAACACACATCTTGTAAATTCTTCCACACCCACCGCAGCGGCGCAGCACCAACCACAGCAGCAGCTTTTCTGTCACCGCTGCCTTTGAAAGAGCAGAACGTCTGATCCCAGTGTAAACAAAGGAATATCACGAGGAAGTGTCGGCGAGCAAACAGTCAGATCTTCATGTTCAGACGTCCACCCTTCCTAATGAGTCTCTGATTAAAGGACAAGTCTTTTAATGGGCCGACAGGACAGTGGAAAGACTGTTAAGCCTTTAATTTATTCTTTGTTGTAAAAGTTGAAGTACATTTGTAAACTTTAGCTCCGGTCAGAGGTTTATTACTTTTTCACTGGTTTTCACTTTAACCTTTAACAGTAAAAGTAAAATAAAAAACATTCAATATTTTCCTAAAGCTACAGTGTCGATCACTTTAACCCCAGACTTTAAGGAAAAATGTATTTTAATTATATTTTAATTTAAACAATACTGTATTATAGTTCAATGAACATCAGTGTGCTCTTCACCCACTACAGTTCTCTCACTTTACAAATAGATTTATTCAGCCCAGGATGCCTTTATTCAAATAGATTTTAATAGTAACACAGTAGAGTCGAATGACAAATACATTCAGTTATTTATGTCACACAGACTAGATCTCCCACTGAGAATGATGATTCTGGTTGTTTCCCCTCCATAGCGGCTCTAAATGAAGGAAATCTATTTTAATCATGAGGTCTCACAGTCATACTCTCTGTCCAGCCTGGATATTAACACTTGTTGTTAAATGGGAGCATTAACCCAGTTGTCCCCACTGGGAGGTCACATTTATAACAAAACACAATAAAATGAATAATTCATAATTTAATTTCTATTATGATTTCATAGTTATTGATAGATTGTTATGGGAGTCCTGATCTTAAAAAAGATTTATTTCTGTGGCCCAGAACTAAATAATCCATGGTGTGGTACTCTACATTAAACTACATCCTGGGATTTAAACACAGAAGAAACGGCCCGCTAGGGGGGTTGCTTGATGAAATTTGAAAGTGAAAAAATGCACAAACACATCACACTGGTGATGTTTTGTCTTGTACTTATTTGCAGTAAAACAAAAGGGGAAACATGGACTTATTGCTATGTGAACTAATGGCTTCTAATCTTGATTGCTTTGAAACAAAAGTTGCAGTAATTCGTTTATTTTTGTCTCTTGGAAATCTGTCTGTTTTTATCGTGGGGATACAGGACGGTACGTTCTGGTCTTATATCGACTGAGAGATACAGAGTAGCTGAGGGCGTGAGTGCAGACACACATACAAGTACACACAAACACTGCACGCATGTGATGTTCTTATGACTCCCATCTTCCCCCCTCTGTGTGTGTGTATGTGTGTTTATATCTTCGTTCCTGTGTGTGACTGTATGTGTGCCAGGACACGGTGGGAGCACAGACTGGCACCGTCAGGGAAAGTCTGCTTTCAAGTTATGCTAAGACAGAGAGGATGATGGGAAAAATATAGGAAAAGAAAAGAAGAGCCAGTAAATTGTCTTAAATTGGCACGGGTTTGGCCAAAATAATTACCAGCTGCAGTAACAGACTGCCGTTCCATTTGCTTTTCAACTACAGTCTTTGTGTGGGTACTGTATCAGCAGAAGTATGTGTGTGAGTACAGTATGTCCCAAATAAACAAAACTGGTTAGCAGTTAGCAGAATATGGACTTCGCAATGGAAAATGAAAAGAAGTCGATATAAATATATATATTATGGGTTTCAATTGTTTAAATGTAGTAGCATAGTAAAAGTGAACCATAAAAGATGTCCAAGAAGCAAAATGTTAAGAAAACAGAAAAGCAAAGTTAAACTAAGAATTGGCAAATGTTTAGTAGAAAACATAGGGATCAATACTTTCTATCAATACATATACATACATACAAAGCTTTGGAGGAAAAAAAGTCAAAAGTTACTGAGGGAGATTGCTATTTGTTAGTTATAGTATAGTTATTGTATATATATAGATCTATACATACACACACAAACACACACACACA